TGTAAAATCATTTTTTTATGTGTTTCACACCGTGTGTAAAATCAGTTGTGTAACAACAACGTTCCCTCCTGTTAATTTACACTACTGAATATCACGTGATATAGGCGTAGACACGAAAAAAATTTCTGATTGGCTAATATAAATCATTACTCGATATTTAAGTAAGCGTAACTTTGCTTTGGAGTAGTGAGTTGATAATATATATAACTTTTATTATTTTATTGGCTTATTATTACTAATACAAACTGTCTAGAGTTTTGTAACCTTAGAAATATTATTAGAGTTCAAATTTCGCTACAAATAATTTATGAAGAGGGTTATTTTTGTTGGAAGTTAGAATTTCATGGAGATTTCATTCTTCCTTCTTGGGAGAAAAGCTTTCTCAAGAACCTTTCTCCGGAACAACACGAAACAGAAAAACAAAGATGAATTTGAAGCCGTGGTCTTTGTTAAAGACCCAACGACCTTTTCCAACAACCTTGCAGAAAAGTTCAATTTCTCCACTAGTACTCGCAAAAAATGCAAATTTGGATATTTCGGTGTCTACAATTCGCCGTATACTTCGGTATGAGATGTACAGATATCGCAAGATCAATATACAGAGAAATCACGTGGAGACAAGCGGCAATTGTAAGTTAATGTTTATTGTTGATTAAAAGAAGATGTTAAATTATAATCTCGTTGGCATAAATTCTATAGGATTAGCTACAGTAGTAGAAAGCGGCTCCTTTACGATGCAACCCTAAAAGACGAGAAGTAATTTGGCATATCAGTTTAATGATAAGAAAAAAATGGGTCGAGACCACCGATTTTTTCATATTGCCGATTTCTTTAACATTACTTCTGATGACGTAGTCTTATATATAATCATGTTCCGTAGGCTATCTGTGAAATGATTTCAGCAGATCTTCATGTACATGATGGGATTAAAGTCGACTAAAATTATCCCGGAAAATGCTTTGGATGCACAAAGTGCCTTTTTTGTCAACTTCTAAAATTTATTGTAATGAAAAAATATAGATATTCCAATAGAAAAGTTATACTAAAGTTCCTTAGCAATATCATGTAATAATTCTTATAAGATTGAATTTAGTGCAGCTTTTAAATTTTCTTCTTGCTTATCATGCAATAGCAAATTTTACAGGGCTAGAAAAAAAACAAAACTTAATATTACACAAATAAGTTCTTTACAACATGAAGAGTATGCAAAATATATTCCTACAAAAGATGCTAAATCAAAATATGTTACAAAATTATGAGTCTACAACTTTTATTTCTACAAAAAATGTCAAAGAAATCAGCAATCAGAATCAGAAATTATCTTGACCAAGCTGACTTTTTTTATTAGTAAATTCTTCTAATCCACATATGCATCAGGCATGTAAAAATAATGTAGTTCTTTGCAAAATTCTAGCAATACAAAATCATTTGATTATTATTTTTTTGTTTGAGAAATTCTAGACATTGGTTATGATTTGATTAATCGTCTGCGTATCCGAATGTATTCGAACATTTTCTTATTTTATGTCTGTTATTTGCAATTTATTATTTAAATTAGTCAATTAATAAATATTTACAATCAATTTCATAGCTTTAGAGATAGAGTTCTCGGCAAGAGGGTTCTTAGACATGCCATTGAGTCTAGAGCTCTTACTGGGTCAGAAAATACCGACCCGGGCGGGTCAGGTATTGATTCAGGTTATATCCCAGATCAACGAGTCAAGCGGAAATTCATAAAGTTTTTGAAGTTAAGCCTTAAAAGTTAATACAACGATACTTAATTAGATTTTAGTATAAAGAACAACTGTCCTCCAATTATTTAAATTGGAATTTTTTAACAATAAAAAAACTGAATTATTTAAAGTTGGGGAAAATACGTGGCCCCTCAAGAAGCTGACCCGCACAGTTAGACAACCCGGGTAAGAGCTTTACTATTTAGTAAACTATAATATCTTCTACCTATATACAGTAGTAAATTATGTAATATAGTGTTTTAGTAGGTTTTTGCCTACTTAAATTCTGACCCGTTTGACCCAGGTTAGATCAATTTTTGACCTGTGACCCGTACGGGTCAGTCGACCTGGGTAATAGCTCTACCTGCCTTAGCGTTACGGTTATTATACTTACCTGACAGCATACTTTACATGGTAAGTTATACTGGTAATCATAAGTAATGCAACAAAAAATTTTTTACTTAGATCACATTATTTCCCGCAATTTCGGGTGTATCTTTTTATTTTATTTTTTTATTTTACTTGTAAATAGTATAGTATTCACATAAAAAAATCTTAAAATGTATTAATAAAGTAGATTTTTTATGAGCATGAGCTTTATTTAAAATTACGTGTTGCATTACTTTTGCTCATTTTAAACACAACACGAATGTAAAACAAAAATTTTTTTTTACATATAAAAAAAAAAATTTTTTTTCTATTTTAATATTTCATAGCCACCACAACATGGTGTATCTACCTTGTGCATTGATTACTTTACGAACTTGTTCTAGCATTGGGATAGATCGGACGATATAGGTCTGCATCTTGATTTCCATCTAGGCCACCTGGATCTTGCCCCAAAGATTTTTTTCATCTGAAATTCAGCTTAAATATTTTCAAGCCAATGTTAAATTGTTAATCTACAAATATTTAAACAAATGAGTTCAGAGGACAAAAATATTAATTAAAATCTTCGTCTAATTATTTCTAAGCTAATGTCTTATAAGTGTCACGCTATATTTGACATTACTATCTTTCTCTATTTTTTTTTTTAAATAGCAAATTCGTAATCTATAACAGTATATATAAAATATTAATAAAAAATATATTAGTATAATGCAATATTCATCTCATAGTCGACATTGCAAAGGCTATTAATATCGCGAAATTTAATATAGTATTATACCTTTACAAACCCATCCCAAATCTTTAATATTAAAAGCAAATTAATAATTTTTTGAGTTATTTCCATATATCCAATTCAAAAAATTTTGAATTTTAGCTTGTTAGACAAAATTACCTAGACCAGTACTTTGTAGACCGATTTTTACAAATTCAAGCCAACGTTTTTATTGATATTCATATGGGTAGAGCTCTTTTTACTTAACCTCTAGTACCAAACTGTAATTTCAATATGTAAAAAAAAAAAAATCTAAATTATTAATATGTTTTAATTTTTTTGATAAAACTATACTTTAATGGCAATTAAATGGCAAAGGTTGGTGGCTCAATTTAAAATCGTCACTTGGGTTGGCTCATTGCTAACAGGTAAACAACAAACCTTTACTAGTTTTTTACAAACACAATAGCCCCACCACTTTTATTGGTATAAAGAGCCAGAAAGCTACTAAAATTACATGTTTAGTTTACCACCCTTGTGATACACCGGTTTTGCAGCAACAAAAAAACTAGGGCTCTTTTGAGTTATAAATCATATATAATTTTTTTTGCTAGAACGTCATTTAAGTTCTATTGTAACACGAGAATGCAAAAATAGGAATAAATTTTCCGGTTACATAATCTTTCATTATACAATAGCCATCAATCTGATTGTTGTAAAAAACGATTAAAAGTAATGCAACACATGATTTGTGCTACATGCTCGCTTATTTTTATATTGGCAATAATAATGAAAATTGAAATTTTAAAATTGAAAAAAGGTACCATTTATAAGTAAAATAAAAAAAAATAAAAGGATACACCCAAAATTGCAGAAAATAATGCGATCTAAGTAAAAAATTTTTTTTTGTTGTATTACTTATAATCACCAGTGTATAGTAAGTTGCACTGTAATTTACATGGCCCTTATGTGTAATAATATAGACAAATCATATGACAATTTCTACCAGCATTAACATCAACTTGGCACAGCCTCAATGGTTAAACAAGTATTATGTAATTTCTTTTATTAAAAAAAATTATGTAATAAATAGTGCCCCAGAAATAGCATGCAAGAGTGTTATTAAGCTATAGTTTAAATTAAGTATAAATTATACCACATTTAATAATTTCATTTTTGGAAGTTATTTTGAGCTTATATAACTTACAAGTAATTTACGTAAGTTAAATAAAATTTCTGATTTACATTAGTAAAATGCGTGTAAATTACATTAAGTTAACAACTCTACCTTACCCAAAACGGTTCGAATCTAAAATATAAGTCACAGCTTATGCTAAAATTTGAGGCCTTAATTAAAAACATTACCCTATCAAAACCACCTATACCCTTTAAATATCAAATCTATTTAACCCTAAAAAAAGTGTGAAAAAAATGCCTAAAAATTTTAAACCTTATAAAAATAGATCCAAATTTCGGCATTACCTGCAACAATATATGAGTGCTGCCAAGAGAAAATAGCCGTTCTGACTTTCAGTTATATTTTATGTACAGTTAATTGTCTATAGAAAATTTATCATCATGATAGATTTTCTATAGACGGCTAACTGTATAAAAATTTCTTTTTCTCTTGGCAGCACTCAGAAGAACTGGACTAGAAAATTGTTGATTTGGGAATTAAATGATTCTTCGATTGATTATCAAATTAAATTAATTTTTATATAATAACAATAAACTTCAATTATATTGATTAGTGGGAAAACCTTTTAACTCCCAGATCGATATTTTCCTATACAGGAAATTGTTGATTTATTTGATCATCAAATTAAATTAATTTTTATATAATGATAAACTTCAATTATTTTGATTAGTTGGAAAATCTTTTAACTTCCAGATTGACAGTTTTTTATATTAGTTCTCATATATTACGTGTAAATTCGTAATTATTTTAAAATCAAACCACTTAAATAGATTTTGAATCATAAAATTATTTCATTGTAATGTTAAATATCACTTTCAAATAACTGTCAATTAAAAATTAACGTATGTACTGTATATTCGTATGTAAGTTTAAAGTTATCTGATTAAAATGTAACATATGTCGAACCTAATGCAATTTTTTTAAATAAAAATTGTTTTTTTTTTAAATATATATTTTCTATACAACAAGATTTCTTTTATTACAATCCTTCAAACTGACTATTATATGAATAACCAAGAAAATGAAAGACATAGTGGATTGTTCAAAATATAATCACTGTTTAGACAATACAAATACAGTCGACCCTCTTAGAATCGGTATGCATGGTGAACAAGTTTTGTATAAGTTTTGAGAGGTTATCGGATTTGAAAACATAACAAACTATTAGATTTATAGGACTTGGTATACTAATTTTTTATCGGTTTTTGACAGGATCGTTTTGAGAGAGTCAACTGTATAATATATTACTATAAGCTTATTTTAAAAACGTTTACCTTGTAAAAAAAATTACTCAAATATAACCTCCGTTTCTGGTCTTGAGCGACAATGTCGCGCAACTACCTTATTTAATATTGGTAGATCTGTATCGCCTGATTTGATAGAAGAATTCATTAACCATAATTTTGGTTAAAATTGACTAGATTAAAATGGTTTGTTCTAAATCTGGTTAAATGATCTGCAATTTTGAATTTGCATTAACCCCCTAGTGTCACCAACCTAAAAAATTTCACTAATCACATGTGACCAATCAAAATTTT